GTTTCTGTTTCAGATAATTTGCTGTTGGCATATAACAGTGCTACTGATTTTCATTTGATTTTGTATTCTGCAACTTCATTGAGTTCATTTATTTGTTGTAATGGTTGTCTGACAGTGTCTTGCCTCTCTGTATATTGTCTGTATATAAGATCACAGTTTGGTGACTTCTTTTCCAATTTGGATGCCTTGTAATTTTTTCTGTATTTACTGTTTAGTGTTTTATCATGAAAAACTATTGCATTTTATCAAATGATTTTTCTACATCTATTGAGATGAACATATGGGTTTTGTCCTTTCTGCTGATATGTTGTATGATATTTATTAATTTACCTATATTGAAGCACTCCTACTTCATCATCATGAACAATCTGTTAAATGTGCTATTGGATTTGGTTTGTTAATTTGATTTGGGAATTTTTGTATGTATATTTGTCAAGGTTATTGCCCTGTATTTTTCTTTTTTTTGTTGTCTCTATCTGGTTTGGGTGTTGGATCAGTGTTGTCCTTGTAGAATGTGTTGGGAAGAATTTATTCCTTTTCTTGTTTTTGGAATAACTTAAGAATTATTAATTATTCTTTAAATATCTGGTACAGCCTGGTGCAGTGGTACGTGCCTATATTCCAGAACTGAGGAAGGCTGAGTAGGATTGCAAGTTTGAGTCCCACCTGGGCAACTTAGTGAGTCCCTGTCTCAAAATAAAAATTAAATAAAATTTTAAAAGGTGGGATGTAGCTCAGTGATAGAGTGCCTCTGGGTTCAGTCCCCGAAACTGAAATGAATGAATTCTACCTAAATGGTAGAATTTAGCAGTGAAGCCATCTGGTGCTGGGCTTTTCCTTGATGGAAAACTTTTTCATTACTGATTTAGCATTGTTATTTGCTGCTGGTCTATTCAGTTTTTGTTTCTTCATGATTGAACTCTGGTAACTGTGTGACATATCTTTTTAGTCCTGATCTAACTGAATAATCAAGGTTATATTCTCTTTGTAAAATACCTGCAATAGTTTCCTGCCCCTTTGCTGCTTAAAAACAGTCTCCCACGGATATTAATCCTTCTTAGAAACATTGAGAGAATTCTCTTGTTAAACCCACATCATTATTCAGTGTCCTTTGTAGGAAAGGTCATTTTATAATTTTAGTGTCTTCCATAAATATCTGTGTAAATTGAGTTTTATTTCTTCTCAGGCTAATTTGGGGGTTTGTAAACCTTTTCCAATATTTCAACTTTATCATGATTATCATTTATTTTATAATACATGATATTTTTATTACTTTCTATTTATTACTTTTATTTATGGTTTTGCTAATTAATTTTCTTCATTCTCTATTTGTATCATCTTTTTCTTCATATGTCATTATCACAGGTTTGTCGTGTGATTTACAAGGAAACAGCTTCTTATGGCTCGCTTTATTTTCTAATTGTATTTAATGTAATAAATTTACTTTTGCATACTACTTTGCCTACTTTTTAACTTTATTTTTAGTATTGTATATTTGCAGTACATAATTAGAATGATCATGGAGAACTGCACTTGTACATGATACATCTTAATTCTTTTTACTTCACCTTCCTCTCCCCTCTATCTCTTGGTCCTCTTCCTATTTGCAAAAGATCTATCTCCGTTTCCTGTTATCTGTTTTGTGTTTTGCTCTTTAAATTATTTATACTTTAGATTTCTCATGTAAGCGAAACCATGTGGTATTTAACCTTGTGTCTGATCTGTTTCACTTAACATTATGATCTCAAAGTGCATCTATTTTCCTACAAAAAACCCTCAAATTTATCCTTTTATGGCAGAGTAGTACTCTATTGTATATACATTTCCTTTATTCTGATGGTTATATAAGCCACTTGCAAGATTTATCTGTCATGAACTGTGCTGCCATAAACATGGATATGCTTGTATCACTGTAACATGATGTCTTTAACTCTTCTGGGAACATACCTAGAAGAGGAGTAGCTGTGTTGAGAAGAATTTCTAGTTTTTAGTTTTTTGAAGAATCTCCATACTGATTTCCATAGTAGTTTACTAGTTTATAGTCCCACCAACAATGTAGAAGAGTTCCTTTTACCCTCCAGCCTCAGCAGCGTTTGTTATTAATAGATTTCCTGGTGATACTGAACCCATCTTTTTAGATTAAAATGGAATCTGTTGTTGTTTGAATTTGCATTTATCTAATGACCAGAGATGTTGAACATATTTTCATGTATTTATTGACCATTTGTATTTCTTCTGAGAAATGTCTGTCCATTTCAGTTGCCCATTTTTTTAAATTGAGTTTTGTATTTTGGGTGGTATAATTTTCTTTCTCTTTTTTTGGTACTGGGAATCAAACTCAGGGCCTCGCGCTTGCCAGGCAGACACTGTGCTTCTGAACTATATCCCCAGCCCTTCATTTCTTTATATATTAAGTATTAGTCATCTGTCCAAGAAAAAGCTTGCCTACTACTATTTATTTTGAATGTCTTTCTTGTTGTTAGTTTTAGTATTTGGTCATTTATGCAACTCATCGGTTTTTACTTTGATACTTCTTGTTTCTTCTTCCCTTATGCCCAGAAAGCATAATTACCTCGTACCTTCCTCCAAAATTGCCTAATCTGGATTACTTCCTTTTAGAATACTTTCAAAACTTCTGAAACCTTGTTTGAAAATTTTTCTTTGATTGTTATTTTAGAAGATAATTTATCTGGTTTTAAAAGTCTATATTTAAGGTTCTTATTTGCATTTTCATTAGCGGAGATAAGAGTAAAAAAAGGTCTTCAGAGATAAAATTGTAGCCTTCTAGTTGTGTCAGATATAATATCTGACTCCTTATGATCTTACTCTAGGAATTGGTAATCTGCAGAATGGACAGTGCCTCCTTTGGTAATTTACTTTGACCCAGCTCCTGGCTTTCATACTTTCTGTATTGGAATTGCGTTCCATAGGTGGTCCTATTGAGCAGTGTTGTTTGTTTTGTTGTTTTGTTTTATTGAGGGTGTCTTGTTAAATTCCCCAGACTGGCCTCAAACTTGTGAACCTCCTACCTCAGCCTTCCAAATTACAGATGTGCACCATCATGCCCACCTTGGGCAAAGTCTTTTTAAAACTATTCATGCAGGCTTGTTTTCAATATTCCATATACGACCTTCAGGAAATCGAGATCATTTATGGATGGGGGACATAGCCCTCACTTCCTTGTACCCCTCCATTTTTATTCTGCTACTATAGACTGTTCCTTTGGAACTTTTTAAGCCCTGCACTAGGTTCTGGTTCCTAAATTTCCCTGGCATTGTAAGGGATACATATAAAGTTATCATAGAAGTTCTCTGAAACTTGGTGTTATAGGTTGGCTTGTGGAGGACTCGGTACCTCAACATTTTGGCATCTTTCCCTTTAAAGAAATCTTCTCTACAGATTATTGCTCATTCTAATTTCTAGTTATTTATTATTTTATTAGGCCATGAGCTAAGGATAACAACCAAGCTTTCCGGCCTTATATAGTATATGCATGAAATAGTCTGGCTTTATTTTTCTCGGCTTGTGCAATTTCTAACAAAACTCCCAGAAGGAAAAGTAAAGTCACATTTACATTCTATAATAATCTCCTTTAAATTTTTCTTTTACCCAACTGTTCTACTTTCAGTAGATTATTTTCCCTTTGTTTAAGAGCATGGAGTCCTAAAATGTCATTAAATTATTCTGTTCTGTTATTTTGTTTCTCCTCAGATCATTATACATTCGGGTTAATGATACATAAATTGGTTTAGGGGCCCCCTCCTTGAAATTTAGGGAGTATTAGTTGGGCTTGAATAAAAATACCTGTGTGCCAGAGCAAAGAGTCTGTGATTATAATCTGTCACTCTTCGTTGGCAAACTTAGAGCCTGTTTCCCTCAATTTTAAGTTTATAACCCTGAGGATATGGAAAGGACAGATAGGGAAAGTTAGTTCACAGGCTGCCTATACTGTTAATTTCCCAATACCTATCAATAGTCCTGTTGTTATAGTAATAGTCCTGCTTGCACTACAGTTTTTCTGCCTCACAGTGCCAATACAGGTTTTTGTTTTTTGGTACTGGGGATCAAACTCAGGTCCTTGCACTTGCGAGGCAGGCCGCGGAACCACTGAGCTAAAGTTTTTGGTTTTTTTAGAAACAAGTATTATTGACCGCAAAGGAATGCACTTTTAAAATGCTTCTAGCCTATTTCTCATTCTAGACATCCAACTATTTTTCAGTCAGTCCGTACTACAGTTTCTTTCTTACATTGTGATGCAGTTACCTTCTTTTGCTGAGAAGATCATTCTAATTTTATTTGTTTGATAGATTCTTCAACTTCCTAGCTTGGCATCTCCATGTGTCAATGTGGGGAATGAAGTTGCTCCCCTACCAGTGCAGCCTAAGAATTCTGTGTCCCATCTAGTTGTTGTAATTATTGCAGGTGTTTTTAAACATACTAATAGTCAGGAAATGAGTTCTTGAAGAAGAAAAAAACTGAATTGTAACCAATTAAGAAATGACACAGTTAAAAAAAAAAAAAAAGAAATGACAGTTAAAAAATACAAGAACAGAAAGGAAAATTGTATTAGTAAAGGAATGGTTATGACTACAGAATTCATTTATTTAGTACAAAGACTAGTGTTATAAATATGATGATGAAATATAATTTCAATGATAAAATTCCTGGAAAGAAAAGTTACATAACAATTTAACTCTGTGAAACAATGACAGCTACATTTTCAGAACGTATCAATGAAAATGTTATGCACAGAAAGCTTGAGCTAATTTAGATTAATACATATCCATCGGTATTAATAGTTGTGGGTAAAATTTTTTATTTTATCTGTATTTTCTAAATTTCATATGACTATTTTATAAAGAAAAATATTAGTTTTAAAGTAAGATAAAAACAAAACTAAGATCAGTGTACCTCCAGCTATGTTGCACTTTGAAAAACTTAAAGGTAGAATTAAAAATCAACATTTGTTTTGGTTCAGATGTACTTTCTGAATTTTTCAGTGGAAGTGAAGAAGCCCTTTCTAATGAAGACTGTGAAAATGTTTACCATTTGGTATACTCAGCACATCGTCCTGTTGCTGTGGCAGCTGGAGAGTTCCTTCACAAAAAGTGAGTTATCTTTGAAAACAAGTTCTACTTTTGTGTTTTATTTTATTGTTTAGAGTTACTAGAAAATAGTAAGTCTGAATGAACACAGTGCTGAAAGTGTCCATTTCACACTACCTTGGGGGTAATAAATCCTCATAGCATGCATACACATCATGAATCACGTCCCTGAGAATGATATGCTTTGTTACATATTCCTTTTCCCTAAAGTCTGAGAGAATAGGATGGTTCTCAGCTGGGGATGTGAGTACAGATTTGGGAAGTACATGGTGTTTATAAAAACTTTTTCATTAGTTTTTTTCTCCGTTTCAAAATACTTAGTTCTGATCTCATTTTTTCAGGATTTGTAATCTAAATGTGAAGCAGTGTCACCTTCAAAGTGTCAACGTAACACTTCATAGTTTTTTCCCATACTCTTCATTGGCATAAGGATTATTTTAGTCAGTAATCGATACTAATTCTGAAACTTACATATACAGTTAGAGTTTAAATTTTTTTACATTTCATCTGTTTTTTGGCAAAACATAGAACTGAATTTATGAGCATAAAAGCTCTTATGAAATACATTTTTATTGTGGTTTACTGTATATGTAATTTAGTGGAGTTATTCTCACAATATAAACATATTCTTGGTTGTGTATTGTTTGCTTTGTTTTCTTGTTGGTAATTTTGCTTGTGGGTTTAATGGCTTTGATTATTGACAGGTGAATCCAAAAGTCTATTACATATCCTAGCTTGTGATTATGCTAAACAGTAGATGTAAATTGTGCTCTGGGCAACTGTTATACATGGATAATTAACTTTGATAATGAGGTGGGCTGTAGCTCCATCCACTATCTGGATGTTGGTAATGCAATAATAAATTGTTCAGTATTTAGTTGTACTACCTAAAGTGGGCAAAGATGTTTCTATGTGAGAAGTCTTTCTTAAATGCAAACAGGCTACTAGTGTATGCCGGCAGTGAAAGTAAAGAGGAAGAAAATTAAGATTTTAAGGCATGACTTTTAAAATAATATATTGGACTTAACACCATGACATCTGTAGTCATGAAATTTTCGTATTTATTTTGGGGTGTTCTCTCAACAAATATCAAGGATGTGTTATAGTGTTAATTTCCCTTTCACTGTATTTTCTAGTTAGTCTCTATTCTTTATTAAACTTTTCAGTTAGTTTGTTTTTAGAAAGAATTTATTGCTTCTGTGCCTTCAAAAAGAAAATAAAGAGGTTGGTTCTGTGTAGAGCAGAGATCATCACAACATAGCACGCAAATTAGAAAAAGACCTTGGGTAGTTTTATTTGTATGCATAAGTTTGAAATATTTGCTAAATGTATAAGTAGAAATATTTTACATTAAAAATTTAGGAGGGTAGCCCTTCATTATTTCTATATGAAAATGAAGCCAACTCCTTTGCAAATACGAAAGTTTTCTCTACATGCCGATTTTAGGCCCTTACTCTAGAGACATGCATATTTTAATAACTTTTGATTTTTAATGACTACTTCTTGGAGCATTCTTCTATATTCTGATATAGTAGTCTGTTAAAAGTCCTAACAAGTAAGATAAAGAGTAACCCCAAGTGTCCATATATGTGTATGTATGCTTGTGTATACATAGTGACTTGTGTTTATACATTATGGGCAGTCTTAACCAATTATTAAAAAATAGTGAAACATACCTGAAATAAATATTTTAATGTCACCCAAATGTCCACATTATAACATTTAAAATTTCAGCTAATTGCAGTACCTTATATTTATAAGTAAGTGCAATTATCTAAATTGGTATATTTTAATTACCAAGGGCCCTCATGTTTTCTATTTACTATCCAAAGGACAAAACCTCTCTAAAGTGTGTGTGTGTGGTACTGCGGGTTGAACCCAGGACCTTATGGATCCTAGGCAAGCATTCTACGCAATCTATATTTCCTATCCCTTTTAAGACAAGGTCTTGGCAGGTTGCCAAGGCTGGCCTCAAACTTGTTATTCCCCTGCCTTAGCGTACCATATAGTTGCAATTACAGACATGCACCATCACACCTAGCAAAACCTTCTCTTAAACTATTATGATAGCAAGATATTAACTCAAAATCAGTCATGCTTCCACCAACCAAGGAGATTAAACTTTTCTGTTGTTATAATCTACTTGAAATTAGTTTGTTTTTACATTACATGAAATCATTCTTGTTTTATTCAGTTAATGTTTTATTTCAGACCCTATCATGATTCACATAAACTCATACAAGCTATTTGCCTATTCCTATTATTTTTCTTTATGAGTCTTGAGATAAGTGTGTACTTAGTTTATTGCCATCCACAGAGTGAGAGTTCTGTGAGAATAGGGACTTTTGTCTTTGTTCACTGCTATTTGCCTGTATCCCTATTCCGTAGTGCAGTACCTGGAAATAGAGACATTTAGCAGTCTTTAAGTTGTTTTTTGGCTTACTTGCTTGTTTGGTTTTTGAGATAGGGTCTTGTAGTTCTGGCTGACCTTGAACTCAGTATGTAGCCCAGGCTGGTCTTGAACTGGCAGCAATCCTCCCTCACCCTCCTGAGTTCTGGGATTACAGGCATGTGCCACCATGGCTGGTAGCTGTCCTTAAATTTTATTAGAATAAATTTAAAAATTTATATCATTTCTCAGCCATATTTTAGAAGTTTGTTACAAAATAGTATTTTCTAAAATGTATTAATGTCAGTTTTACTGGAAGCAGTGCAGTTTCTAAGTAATGGGCTGTAAGGGTAAAGTGAGGTAATGAAGATTAAAAGAAATTTTATAATTATTGCTGGACGATTTGGTTTAATGTTATAATTAGAATACTGTAAAATCAATACTTAAGAAAATAGAGTTCAGTTTAAAATTTATATTCTAGTATCAATTATACAGGATAATAGCAGTGCTTGTATTTTTCATAAATAAATGAGTATTATTTATCAGTAAAAAACTTTCTTCGTACATTTTATATATAGTTGATCTGCTTGAAATTTTAAAAATCTAACCATTTTTATCTATAAAGATATCATGGATACATTTTTGTTGAACTAGATTTGTAATCTGATCGCAGACATTTTGTTACACTGAAGTAATTTATATTGAGGGGAGACTGAAATTCATGTATATATGAGTTTGTAATGCTGTTTTCTCTCCTCAGGTTGTTTAGCAGACATGACCCACAAGCAGAAGAAGCATTAGCAAAGAGGAGAGGAAGGAACAGTCCTAATGGGAACCTCATTAGGATGCTTGTTCTTTTTTTTCTTGAAAGTGAGGTAAAAAAAAAAAAGTATATATATATATGTAGCAGTACATATTAAATAAAGTCATCTTTTCATTTAGTGTAATTGATTTTTTTCAGTCAAATGAAAACAGTCCTGTCTCTTGTACAGTTCCTCAACTACTTGATTATAGAATCAGTATTCTACCTTTTGTAGGAAGAAATTTTAAATATATTTGTAGGTATGTAGCAATCCTGAACATAGACTAGTAAATTTGTTAAAACTTTTATGCTTTTCCAGTATTGCATACTTTTATTTTTTTCTTGAATTTGTATCTAGATTTTAAATTGTTAAGTTTTTTGTGAAAGTTGTCAAGCTGTTAAAACCATTAATTCTGTCTTGTTTAAAAATCCTGTTATTGGGACAAAAATGTATTCAGTTGTTTTACTTGACAGTGTACAAGTCCGTTGGCAATATGTCCATGTGCTATAGTCAGTTATCATTTAGATGATTTAAATGAGGCAGGAGGATAGCTACAAGGTCTCAAGGCCAGCCTGGGCTACATAGTAAGTTCAAGGACAGCCTGAACTACATAATGAGACCTTGTCTCAAACACACACGCACAAATAAGTGATTTTATAATTAACACTCATGTATTGGGGTCTGTTTTCTCAGATAAACTTTTGTTTGCATACTAAAATACTGTTTTGGCATTTTTATTACTAGCATGACATTGGAGAACTGGTAAATTTAACCTAAAGAGCCCCTGAATGAATAAACTACTTAGTTTAGAAATGAATGAGAATAGTTACAAAAGAACTAAAGAAAGTCTAGAAATTTCAGACTCAATTTTATTTGGGAAAAGGTGTTTTTCACTTGTGTTGAAATGTCAGGGAAAAAGAGAAATTTAAAAGTTTCCATGAATGTTCAAGTCCGAGAGTGCTAGAGAAAATAGGAATTACAAAGAGACAAACAGGCAATGTATATGAAAAATAAAATCAGAGAAGTATGTACTGAATTCATTCAGTGACATTGGTTAGGGTATAGTAGGGTAGAATGCAGAGGAGTTACCCTGATATTTTGAGTTGGGACTGAATAGAGAAAAAATAAACTTAGAAACAAAACCAACTGGAGAGTTGACATTTGTGTAAAGAATGTATTTAAGAATAATGTTTTGATGTGCTTATAAATCACCTTGGTATCTTGTTAAAATGCCATTTCTGATACAGTAGCTCTGGAGAGGGGCCTGAGATTCTGCTTTTCTGACAGGCACTTAGGTGATGCTTATGATCTTGATCCACAGACCATACCTTGCATAGTAAGGATGTAAAATATTATTTTATTAACAAAGCAAGTTTGGGTAAATTATAGAATGAAGTTCAAAATATCAATTTTTAGGTTAAAATACTAAATGCCCAGTAAATAGTACACTTATAATAAATAAATAGCCCATTTGAATTTATACTCCTAACTTCCTTAGGTTTTAGAGCAATGGATAAGAAGTATAACTCAACTGTCAAATCCTATGTAAAATGATGACTGTACCAACAATAGTTTCAAAAATTGATAGGAATGAGATATGAAAATATTATTAAATTGATAAAAAGTTTAGGGAATGTCATGGTCTTGGCTAATTGACTTAAATTATTAAAAGAAAATGTTTCTGGTTTCTGAAAGCTCTAGGACTTTTTGATTTGTTAAAAGCTTTGAGTATTAGTTTCAAGTAATTTCATCAAGCACTAACTTACAGAGTTTATTACTGCTGTATTTTCAGGCAGTAGTACTGTATTTACTGTTGTTACCCATAGTGTTACAACAGTACTAACTTACATTTCCCAGTTCTTCTATATGGCATTTTTGTCAGCTGCAAACCATATTCAGTGGTTTCTAATTGAGTCATGGTCAGTATATTGGCTTTTTGGTCTCCTGTTTTACAAGAAACATTATTTATGAAAAGTCTTTCTTAACCTGTTGTACTAGTATACACTCAAACCTGAATGCTTATTGAAGTCATATTCATATAGTGTGATGGGATTCTGATGGCACCCTACTCTAAATTTCCCTGTTATACTGTAACACACCTTGATTATTAAAATTTTACTAATAGATTCACAAAATGCTGAATTAGCAGAGACTTTAGAAATATAAAGTAGAATGAGTATTATAGATGAGTTGCAGATCACTTACCTGGGATTAACTGAACTGATGTTCATTCTTTTGTTTTACAATTGTGTGAAATAGTAATATTTTAATAGGAGTATAAAGTGTTGAAAAAGTTTTACAGTGCAGGTTAAATTATACAGGTCAAGGAACCTGCTTAAACTAGTTGTTTTCTTTTGCTACCAAAAAGTGACATTTTTAAGTTACCACAATCTTTATAGCAGTCATTAATTTCAGATGACAAAATACTTCATATTTTAGATGCATGCCAGTCAGAAGGATTATTGATATTTGAATGCATTTAGTCTAGATTTCCCTATAGCTATTGTAAACCATAGAGTTTGTTTTAGAGACTCAGATCTTTTCATTGGGACAAGGAAGCTATTAGTAATTATTTCAGAAAGTTATGCAAGCCTGAAATACAGTCTTTCTTTTTGTAAGCTTATTGAATGAGGGTAATTGTGACAGTCAGATGGCAAATTGACAGGCATATTGTTGATACATCTAAGAATTGTCCCCAGAATGTTCATCCCTGGGGCACAAATGATATATTGAGGGGTTTTTTTTCCTGTCTGTTTGGCTCAGTTTTGTTTGTTTTTGTTCTTTGTCCTTTAAGATTCACTTGTGAGTGGCTCTATTTTAGCAAACGTAAGTTGTTTAGAAATTCTAGGCTTAATAACTTGGGGTGATTATTTGAATATTAAATGATTTGTCATATAAAGGATTACTGTAAGTTTCTACCAGAAAGTGAAATCCTTCATTGTATTTAACTAGCCAACAGAAAGATTAGGAGACAGAAAGAAATTTAGATAAATATTGGAATTAACTCTGAACCTAATTAAGGATGGGTCCGAATATACCTTGAAAATTGTAGTTACCAGAAATGAGATTAATTTGTCCACATGTAAACTTAGAGGAAAACTGTAAATTGAAATATACTTTTATTTAGCAAGGCAAAACCTATATAGATACAAATAACTTTATATACTATATAATAAATCTGTATAATAAATGCACTTTGATACAACTTGAATTGTCCATGTTGTCATACAGTGATTTTTTTTAATCCATTGAAGAGTTAAAATTTTTGTTCATCTAGTTTTTGAAGAGTACAAAGAATGCTCATTAGCTACCTGATTTTCACACTTTTTAAAAAAAGGATGACAAAAACAAAATTTTGTACTTTAATGGTTCCCATTTTTTTTTAATCTCTGTGTTTTGTTTATTGTCTCTTTTTGTCCTTGTTTTTTTTTTTTTTTTTGGTACTGGGGATCAAACTCGGGACCTTGCACTTGTGAGGCAGGTAGTGGAACCACTGAGCTAAATACCTGGCCCTTGTTTATTGTTTTTAATGGCCATTAAACATGGCTTACTGTCTTCCTTCTTATCTTTCACTTGGGTATAAAATGTCTGAAAAATAATTATGACCTTTTACCCTTACTGGGCTATGTTAGAACTTTTTTCTTTCTTCCCCAAACATAGATTTACCTGATATTCTAACAGAAAGTTGAAACTTCCAAGTTATGTGGCTATCACAGGTGCTCATAGATAGAAGGACTTTCCTACATTCAGTATTATGTCAAAGTAATCTCTGAGTGATCATGCTATTCTGAAAAAGCTTGACTTTTTCTCAAAATAAAATGAAAGAGGCCTGGAATGTAGCTTAGTGCTCCTTGGTTTCAATCTTCAATACAAAAGACCTCCCAAAATTTCTGATAGGAATATTACAACATACCAGAGCTAAATTTTAATTTGCCCCAGTTCACAATCAAAGAGGTTGAATTGTGTAATGAATTTCTCCACTAAAAACCTCAGGCTTCAATTAGTTAAATGGAAGAGGTGCTGGCCATGGTGACACACACCTATAATCCCAGCACTGGGGAGGTAGAGGCAGGAGGATTGCTGAGAGTTCCAGGTCAGCCTGGGCTACATATTGAGCTCAAGACCAGCCTGAACTACATAGCGAGGCCTTGTCTCAAAAAAAAGAAGAAGAAGTATTACCAATTCACCAAAACAGTGAGTAATTTATAGAAGCTACATAGTAAGTGAGGAAAGGCTGCAAATTCCAGTAGTATTGGGCTGGGGATTTAGCTCAGTGGTTCTGCCGCCTGCCTCACAAGTGCAAGGTCCTGAGTTCGATCCCTGGTACCAAAAAGAAAAAAAACAAATTCTAGTACTGTTAAGTAACCTCTAGCCCATGAGGCAAAAATAGAAAATTCCATTTTTAACAGATTTTCTGGAAGAACTCTGAAATATACTAAGAATTAGAGCCACAGAAGAGGGTAACATAAATAGTAAATAAGAGGCTGTCCTTTAGCAGAGCTCATTTGTCACTTTAGAACTGCTGGTACAGTAGGTCTGAGAAGCAAAGTAGTAAAATGTTTAGATAATTTGTGGTCACCAATAGGGACAAGAAATTTTTACATTGAAAAGACAAGTTAGATACCTATACAGTAGAAGGAAAACCTGCCAGATTATAGATCTCCTCTTTTTCCTCCTCAGTCAAGGAGACCAGGACTTTGCAATCAGACTCAAAAAAAAAAAAAAGGGATGCTGATCGGGGTATGATGGTGCACACGTATAATTCCAGCACTTAGAAGGCTGAAGCAGGGAGATTGCCTGGAATTCAAGGCCAGCCTGAAGTACATAGCAAGACCCTATCTCCTGGGGGAAAGAAGAAGAAGAAAAGAAAGAGGATTATGGCTACTACCATTGTTGAATTTAGACCATTAACATATATGAACTGCCACAAAGAGTGTCTAAAACATGAAAAATAAGACTGAAACTATTGATAAAAATATTTAATTCTGGGGCTGGGGATTTAGCTCAGTGGTTCTGCTGCCTGCCTCATAAGCGAAAGGTCCCAGGTTTGATCCCCAGTACCAAAAAATATATATATATTTAATTCCTTCTCCAGACAAGATTTTGCCATCAGACGAAAGACCCATGCCATTTGAGAAGAGACTATTTTGAAAGACAAAGATAATCCACAGAAATTAAAATCTTGATTTCAGAATTTAAGAAGGATAGTCAATAAATATTAAGTCCAAATAGACAAATCTAAAGATTGACTGTAGATTAAAGAATTTTTCTAGAAAACAGTGCAAAAGAAGAAAAGCCTAAGAGAGAAAAAAAGAAATGGTATAGATTAAAAGTTGCATTGATCTAGTAGGAGTTCCTGTTTTTGCCCTTTCTGTGTGCTGTGCACTGGTCTTTACTCAGGGCTAGGGGAGGGGACTGTTTGAGACGGAGTCTTGCAGTGTACAGTAGTATTCCAACCTGGTCTGGAGCTCACAGAGATCCTCCTGCCTTGACCTCCTAAATGCTGGGATTACATGCGTGGACCACCACACCCAGCTCATTTCTTTTATTTTTTTCATGAAACTTTGATCTCAATGTGTTAAATTAGTTTTAACAACTCAAGAATGAATTGTAATTCATAGTTAATTTGCTCTGATCTCAAGGGTGATTTAGCTATAGCTTGTAAGCCTGAAGAGAAGATCTTCTATGCAAATGAGCGGAAAAGACTTATGAGTAGCAGAAACTAAAATGATATCAACACTTATACTTACCTTCCCTGAAAAGTTTCTTTGGAATAACACCATATTCTCCAAGATTTTAATGACCAACAAGTAGTACAGAGATTGTATTAAGTGTTTGATGAGGAATTTAAGTGAGTTTGTTTGCTTTGGAAACATACGTTCCAGTGAAAATTGTAAAGAAATCAATGACCAACAGAAAATGAGGATGAGGTAAGGGATGTATTGAGTGAAGTAAAAAAGAGGAGAGAGGCAATAATTAACATTTTTTGCCTTTACCAAATAAAGATGTAAAGTAAGCAAGGCTAGCACCAAGGTCTCAAATAGGATTATAGAAGAAATTGGTCATTTTTTCTTTAAATACAAAACCAAAAAAAAAATGGTTAAAAAGTGACAAGCAGGTGTAGTAAAAAGTGACCTAGATTTGGCTTTATAATTTTGGGAATTCTATTACTAGCTCTCTCAATTTCCTCACTGGATTAGGATATCCTTAATCTTATTACTATAAATGTTAAAAAGTTAACTGATTCTACATACTATGTCCTGAATTATATATATACATTATTCTTTAAATGCTTCTTGGAATCATTGAGTCCAAAACATTTTAACTATGATGAAAATGGTTTACTAACTCAAAATAGTATTAGTAGTTTTTTTTTTCCTAAAATGTTTTTTAGTCACACTGAGTTTGTTAATTTTAGTTACACGAACATGCAGCCTACTTGGTGGACAGTTTGTGGGAGAGCTCTCAAGAACTGTTGAAAGACTGGGAATGTATGACAGAGTTGCTATTAGAAGAACCTGTTCAAGGAGAGGAAGGTATAGTATTTTGACAAGTTGATTTATATATTATTATGTTTCCATTGATAATCATACTATATAGATACTATATAGATCACTTCTTAAAAATAAATATATGCCAAGTATGCATTGTTTTTGTCAAGAGAACCATTTGTTTCCTACAAGAAGTAAGCATGCCTCAACAGTTTACAACTTGTTTTCATGTTAACTCTGCTAGGATGCTGCACAAGTGTTTTAAAAATCTGTGTAACTGCTGTGTAATATTCAAAAAAGTGATTTTTGATGATGGTTTGAGACCCCCTCCCCCAAAAATACTCATTGTAAAAAAAAAAAGTATATCCTGAATCTTTTTGCTATATTAACATGTAAACTTGGAAAACTTTGACACACATGATTTTCCTCTCCAACTTCTCCCCCTTTCTTCCTCTCCCTCTCTCCATTCTTCCCTCTGTGTGTGTGTGTGGTTTTGAACCCAAGGCCTTGCACATACTAAACACATACTGTATCATAAAGATATATCCCAGCCCTAATGCTTAGAATTTAGTTATAATACAACCATCTCCTTCTTTGTTATAATTTTTGAAATCAGAAATAAGATGATGATGCTGCCTGCCTCACAAGCACAAGGTCCTGAGTTCGATCCCTGGTACTAAAACAAAGAAAGAGGGAGAGGGAGAATAAGATAATTTACCTTGCTGTTCAAGAAATGGGGGGAATAATAGTTACAAGATAATTTCTGAAGTAAGGTTTTTACATTTTACATACATGCACTGCATAATAGATTTATTTACTTCATAAAGTGGTTGTATTCTAAAATATTTTATGAACCTGAGTTTGATTTCTGGTACCGAAAAAAAAAAAAGAATATTAGCTCCTTAGTACTAGAAATACTTTTTCCCATACACCATATTTCTTGCTTCTTAAAGAAGCACATAATGAAACTTTTAAAAATGAACTACTAATTCATTTAATTTACGCATCAATCCTAAAAGGTAGGCAGTATATTCACGTACCCAGGCTCATAGTGGATTGAACATGAACTTCACAATCAAAAGGACTATAAATTCAGATTTTTAACTCTCGCTTCTGATTCAAAGTCTTTAATTTTTCTGATCCTTTTCTTCTTCTCTGTAACTTAAAGATTGCTTTTCTTATATAACTTTAGGAGTTGTTGTATTAAGCAAGGTAGTATACTATTGATTCTTTATTCTAATTTCCCCACCCTCCTATGTGATTCAAACCTTTAAAATAATAACAGCAGAACAAGCCATCCCCTAAACTTGACTACCTGAACAGGTTATCAATAGTGTGCATGATCCCCACTCTGGTGTTTGTTTTTTGTTTTTTGTTTTTGGAGACAGGATCTCACCATGTAGTATGAGCTGTCCTTGAACTCACTATGTAACCTTGCCTGTTTATGAACACACAGAAGTCAGCCTGCTCAGCCTCCCAAATGCTGAGATTAAAGGCATGTACCATCACGCCCAGCCCCACTGTCCTTTCTAAGTAGGGATGCATATATCTATTTTGGATTTGACAAAATTTAATGAGAAAAATAGCAAGCACATATTTACTATAACCTGGCTCAATATGCCTTTTGAAAACTTAACTCATAACTTAATAGTTGTCCTGCCAAATTTTTCCCAGCCCATCTTTCAAATGGAGCTTATTATTCTGTATTTGGCTCCACCTTAATTATTATCGACTCTATTTGCATGTGTTTCTTTCCTCTATTATATTCTTAGTAAGCGAATGATCCTATTACTAAGTTAACAGGGCCCTCTGCTCAGTAGTTCAAACCCTTAGCTATACTCTGGGCTCCTTGTGATCACAGGAATATCAACTTATGTTCTTTTTCTCCTTATTTTACTTACACATTTTCCTAAGTTTACTGACTTCATACATTCTATTTCTAACTCACTGTAATATTTTTACTGTTAAAATTACTACTGCCCCTCGGAAAGCTGAAGCAGGAGGATCCCCACAAGTTTGAGGCCAGCCTGGCTACATAGTAGCCAGCCTGGAGTATCTGGTGAGACCCTGTCTAAAAAAAAGTCACTACTGCCCAATTAGCACTTGAAAAAGAGGCCTTTGCATAATACTGAGTGTGGTATGTTCCATCCATTTTCTTTGCCTTTTTCTCAGCCTTAAAATTAGCGAATTACCAGAACAGATTAGAGCTTCTTGTTTCTGATTCCATGCCTTTTATCTCTACCACCTCCAGTTTAATAGCATTGTATCTTAGAAGAAAGGCAAGGCATATATTATGAGAAGAGGCACCAAGATTATATACCTTGGTATTGTTCACTTTTTAAGATAACTTATATATGATATGTAAATCAGTGAATGGAAATTACCAAGTCTTTCATCAAAATGATCTTGATGAATTTACTATATTAAAATAACTGTGCATTATTAGCTGTTTCATTGTAGTTTAAATTTTGTTGACATTCTTTGGCTTCAACTCAAGACATTGTTTTGCTTTGGCTTGGGTTTCATTGATCTGTTTTTAGCAATAGAAGAGTGACTTATAACATGGGAACATTTTTTTAAAAAGCCAGTTACAGTTTTAGGATATGATTCAGTCTGAGTAGGGAAAGTTTTGGAAATTAGACATAACAAATAAAAAATGGTATCTACATAATAACTCAATTTTATTCTTAAATTTTTCATTGAGTGCTGTGCAACATAAAACTCTGGCATGGAATGGCATCCAAATCAGTTTACGGTGCTGATTTTATAACAAAACACTACTAATAACTTATTTTTGAAAGTATTTAGAAATTAAATTTTAGATGAATGAAATGTAGAATTTCAACAGATGAAAGTTTAGTTAAAAGTTGAAGGGCTAGGGATTTAGCTCAGTGATGCTGCCACTTCCCTTGCAAGGGCAAGGTCCTGAGTTTGATCCCTGGTACCAAAAAAACCAGTAAAAGAATTTAAAAAAAAAATTGAAGATGTAGGACTAAAATTTGGTGAGACTTTGTGAAATACTACAGCACCAGCTTAAATCACAGTAGCCTCAAGGCTATCTTACAATATTTTTAAGGGGCGGTTGTTTGTATTTGTTTATGTGACTGTGTTTACAAACAAATGCAAATTGGATGAAATTTTAGTACAGTGTGAGATGAGTCGTTTTTCCTAACAGCTCAGCTACCAGCTAATCAGAACAACTTATTTAGGTTCTGTGTTTCAGCTTCTTCAACTATAATATGAAGACCTTTGACTAGATAATGTTTTTTGGTCAGTTCTGTGATCCACTTAATAAACGAAAGAAATGTGAATAAAGTAATAGAATTCTTCAAACCAGGAATCATTAACTGATTTATAATTTTAAAAATATTTATTTAGAGTATTTTATGTATACCAAATATTATGCTAAATGGTAAGAATACAATATTAAACTAGCCTAATCATTACCTCTATGGAGCTTACATTCTCATGTAGAAGTCAAAAGCAGATAAATAGAGTAATTTCAAGAGTTAAAAAGTGTCTATAATAAATAATAGTAAAGAGGAGTCCATCTTTCAGAGTGAATCTTGATGGAAAACCTTTCTGAAAAGTCCATATACAAGCCAATAAATTAAAAGATAATGGACTAGCCATGAGAATTTTCAAGAGAACTACCTGGATAGTGTAAATAGCACTGAGTGTCAGAAACATGAATGATACTATGTTCTGGGAGTTAAAATAGCTAGAGCATAATGAGGCAGTGCTACAAGATGAGATAGAGGCACGCCCTACCGAGGTCGCAAGTCTCCCTGAACCCGCCAAATCAGCTGGCTGCAGACAGGCAGGTCTGCGCACACCCTACTGAGGTTGGGAGTCATGCGGAACATGCTGAATCAGCCAGCTGCAGACAGGCAAGTCTGCGCACGCCCTATGGAGGTCTCAAGTCCCAAGGAACACGCCGAATCAGCCCGCCAGCAACAATCCACTGGAACCACCCCCCCCCAACCCGCCCCTCTATACACCCACCTGGTTCCACACTACAAAGACACAGAGGACACTGGACTACCAGATCACTGTACTGAGTCACGGCGCTCCCAGCCCAGAGGTAGGGGCTTCTGAACCGCCCTCCCACTGCTCCTGGTCCAGAGGAAGGGGCTTCCCGGCCACCATCGCTACCACTGCTCCCGGCCCTTGTCCCACCTCTCCCAGCTCAGAGGAGGTAATCCATGCAGGTGCCAACAGCCCCCCTCTCCAGTTGAAATGAGAAAACATGTAAATAAGTCTCAAAACCAGACTTCCAGATCACCTACACAAACCACAAAGGGAAATGAGACTGGAACACTCTGATACACAACCACCTGGACCCACTGAACTGGCAACAAAAGGGGATCTGGAAAAAATGAAATCAGAAATAATTTCTCAGATAACA